CACGCCTCCTTCTGCCTGTTACATACATTTTAACAAAACCATTATACCCTGATATATATATATATATATCATATATATATATATGATATAATAATAATAATAATAATAATAAGAAAATTTATAAACGTATTTCAGAAAATAACAGAAATTTAATTTAATAAAACACTATGAGCTTGTAAACTTGTAAATATCACAAAACAGATCATATTTGAATTGAACTTTAATAGTAATTTTAATTAGTTAAAAGCTGAAACCCTAAGTCTTTATTTAATCTTCATTTAATTAAATTTCAAATAATCCCATATTGCTTTATTCAGAACTATTTATTATTGTTTATACCAACTTAGCATGACAACATATCAACTGTTTGCATATTCATATACCACTGTGCCTTGTAGAACTAAGAAATTGCCACACAAATAACTGTAATCACCAGTTATGCTTTTGCTAGTCCCGTTAATGTTGCAGCGAGAGCAGCTTAAAAATGCTGCAATTTTCGCAGTTTAGCTTTGACTGCGACTGCGGAAGCTTTGAATATTGTGATAAGTGTGTGTGTGTGCTAAATTATATACATGCATACACATGAGTATAATTACATATGTATGTATGTATGTATGTTCACATTTAGGTAGAGTTCGAATCAAAGGATAATACGTGCATACAAACAGAAGGATGGAAGCTGTCTTTTAAGATTCAACGATTCGTGAAGAGATTACCAAATTGTTAGCTCATATAGATTACTATGTATGTATGTATATGCCTAATACCTTCTAGTAAGCTCTAATGGATATGCATGGGTAACATAGTTAACTAAACCAAGAAATGTCTCCTAAGATGACAGCATTTCGATTGATCTAATTAGGCTATCTTTTATAGTACCCTCTTATAGCATATTTACCTCTTTCGTTGCTAAGCTCTTCCGGGTCAGTGGTGGCATCTATCTCATAGTTCTCCCGTATTGTATGAAAGCGTGACGTATAAAGGTGAGCCATCTCGTATGCCTCGTGAATCAGTACAAATATATCTTTGCTGCTCGAACGATTGATGATGATGGTGATGGGATTTAGAAGTAATACGACTGAAGCTTACCGATTGAAAGTGAATTCCTCATCTTGCTTTAACAGGAAGGTCAATTCCGGCGCTGACTGATACAGACATTCCTCCTGACGGCCCATGATGGAAGGCCTAGATGAAATGAAATAGTAAATTGGAGTAGGCCAGTCAAATTATGTCATGCACTGAGATAGCCTACGCTGTATATTGGGTGAATTCCGGGTCTGTGGTAAAGGGCGGGATGTCTAGGACACTCTCCAAGATCAAGCCCGTAATGCGCTGAAAGATCAGCTTTAAGACATCCTCCAAGGGCTCCACCTCAATGCGATCGGGCAGAAGACGCAGCTGTGCTAAGAAAAATGGAGCTTGTGGTGCCTCAGGTGGACGCGGTTTTTCGACTGTCATGTCAAGACGATCGTGACTGATTATTTCTTCTTCTGTTGGCGCCACTTTGTTGTGTTCATCAAAAGCGGTATGCAGGTCCGCATAGCTCTGAATGGTTACACGATACAGCGCTTGATACAACATCATGTCGCAGTAGGTGAGAAAGCTGCCAACGGGGAGAAGAACGCGAGCAGTTAGTTTAGGATGTGGCAATTGAGAGTACGGCTAGAAGAGTTGCTATCATCGAAATTCAGATCACCGAAATAATATGAGCGTACTTGGTTAAGGTCTTGCAAAACGCACGCTTCCGGGCTCTATCCATAAAGCTGTGTGCCTCTCGCATTTTCTTGACAGATGGATAGTAATTGATCTCATCATCGGGATAGAAGCCGCGCGCCATAATGGCCTCAGTGCATGAACGATCTGCGGGATTAAGGGAAATTTGAAAATCCCTATAGATATATCTCAACTATACGCACATATAGCTTTGCCCGCAAAGCCTCGAAATTCGTGGAAGAGGAGGTTGAGCTGCTCGTAGATGCGCATGTGGAGCTCCAGAAAGTAGAAGGGATGCCATTCCTCGATAATTTCCGTATTGACAAAGCTGAGACGGTCCAGGACAACAAGATCGGCTCGCATGCGAAGAACAGCCTTGGCCAGTTGGGGAATGACGATAAATAGATTATTCTGCAAGTGGTTGCGGGCGTAGTTCAATTTGCGCCACTTTATTGTCTTCTCCCACACTTTGAAGCCCTTCCACAAGCGGAAGATGGAGAAGGTGCGTATTTGGATGATGCTCAGGAACTGCTGGAACTCCTGTTGCCATTGGTTGAGCGGCGTGAAGAAGTTCTCGGAGACGCGCCAATAGGTAACGCCATGCCGCGTTACTGTATAGTAGGGCTTATAGATGTTCAAATTGCAATACTCAACCTCGCGCAGGCTGTACGGGGTGAAGAATTCGCTATCCTTGGGCAGCATATAGTCCAGGTAGACAAAGCTGTCGTCCTTCATGCTGCGCATCCGATTAATGACCAGGTTCAGGTCGGGTATTAGTGAAGCGCCCGTTTTAATCTGTAGGTTGACGTCGGTGAGTGACTTGGTTGGCCGCTCCCTGAAGAACGCCCTCATGCTCCGCTGCCGACTCTTCCGCATAACGGACTCCCTCGCTATGCTGTTTGCCCTGGAGGTTGGGGTCACACTTGGAACGGTCATATCTTTCTCGTCCTCCTTGTCGCTGTCCACGTACAAGTCGACTCGACGGGTCTTTTCCGGTGGCGGAGCATCTTTCTTTTCGGCTGGGGCGTCCTCCTCCATTTTGCGCACTTAACGGCTCAACAATCAGTCAAATATATGGTTCTGCAGTGTAGAGGAATCAATTGGCATATCTAAATATATATTTATATATATATATACATATATACATATATATTGATATATTTATATATATATATAGAAACAATTTGATAGGCTTTGCCTGGCAGCTGTTGAATTTGTTGCTTGTTTTCCGTTTTTGCCAAGGCAACGGCTACAATTGCATCCAATACGGTGCCATGGCAGCCGTTAAGCTTAGCCTGCAGCAAACTATTTACAAGGAGCTTTTTTCCGACTCTAAAGAAAAGCGCTAAAAGTTTACATTTGTAAACAAACTCCTGATAAATCAGGGGCAATTTTTTGTAAAGCTCTTGTGGATTAAAGTGAATATTATAATGTAAAGTCTTGTTATGTGTATTGCCCCATCTCTGAATATTAATGAATTAATCGCAAGATTTGCCCTTGCACTGTGGTCAAAAATCCGATTTTTTTCACAAAAAGTCTAGTCTTCAGGCTGGAGATTTTTAAATATTTGTTAAATTAATTAAAAATTTTGAGTTTTTGTATTTCGGTTTCGAGCAACACCTATGTATACCCCCTTCTCCACTATCAATAAAAAAACACACTTGTTTAAAATATCAATTTTTAAAAGATATCAACAAAAATCACACTTACACAACTATTAATTCCCAATTTTATTTTCTATATATTGAACATTGATTCTAAATACTTAAGCGAACAGTTTCGATATTACCAGTTTTTTTTTTATCTCTATTTAATCACTCACAAAACAATTGCAAATTTTAATTGCATTTACGGTCGCATTTCAATAACTAAAGCTTTGCTTTAAATTGCTAAATATGGTTAAATAAAAAATAACGATAACGGATTTTTCTTATATCATATATTTTTAATTATAAAATAAAAAAATATATAGTTTTGGAAACATAAGAACTTAAACTTAATGCCAGAAACTCAGACTTTTTGACCATAGTGCTTTGTATGAATATGAATATCATCATCATCAAACAAAATTCATTATTCTTTTATTTAAAAAAAATCGAAAATCGGGTCCGCTGAATGTGGGAATGTAGGGCTGCCAGATGATTCTATTGAATATGAGAAGGGTATGTTCTACGATCATCCGGTATGTTGTAAGTACTTCACTAGGCCGCAGGCCTCGATAATATTTGTTTAGCGGTGTTAAATCCGAGCATATAGACTTCCGTTTTCCATCTTTAATTTGCTAGTTCTCAGTAGGCATACCAAAAAATACAGTAATCCAAAGATATAGTCTATATTCTTTATTTTGCAATTCGTATATTATTTGGGGTATATAAATTTGAATTAGCTGAGCTTTTCGTAAATGTTCTCTGCAGTTTGAGTTTCTCATTCAATTTGAAGCAGAATCAGTTGAAAAGCTTTTCAAAGCTTTCACGAACAGCTTTCCGCTAGCTTATATGAATGGAATGTGGAATTTCGAAAATGCGCTGCTGCAGTGCGTTGCGGCTGCCGCGTTGCCCCATTTACTTCCCGTCGTTGACAAAAAAAAGGATACGCGTCGGAGGAGCTTTTGCCGGCATTTTGCCACAGTTGGTGGCATTTGCAACGGATTGTTGCGCCTGCTGCCTGCTTTGATTCAGAAAAGCACAAACACTGCCGACAGCCGCCTGACCTTCAAATTCGGTTGTTGTCGCTACGCTGCGGCGCATAAGCTTTTCAGTTTTCGATATCGAAAGTGAATACCGATGCTGTCGCTGCTGCTGCCGCTGCCGCTGCCGCAGTCGCAGTCGCTATGAAGATAAAAAAGTCGCAATAGGCACAGAGCTTGGCAGTGGCAAAAGCTCAAGGTGAAAGCATCATCAGCTGCTGCTGCTAGCGACCGCGACGGCGACGGCGACTGTGGCAGCGGCAGCAACAGTGACAACGACAACGACAGCGACTGCGACTGCGACTGCATTCGGACACCGATTCGGATGCCAATTTACGTTTCGGATTCGCTCAGCGTACGCGTCGTGCGTTTGCCGAACCTGCAGCGGCGGCAGCGGCATCGCTCAGGCGGGTCTCCAGCACGGCCGCTGCGTCCGTGGCCAAATAGTCGTTGGGTATACGCCGCGATGTTAAGAGCCGCGAACGCGAACGCAACGTTTCGCAGCAGCACGCAGCAGCACGTAGCAGCAGCAGCAACACCAGCAGCAGCCACACGCCAAACGCAGCACGCAGCAGTTAACCGTTGTTGAGCCTCTACAGCCGCAGAGGCTGTCGCAGAGCCGTCGAGCCGTTCAGCCGTTCAGCGCTTGCCTTGTGTTAGTAGCCGCCATCGTCGTCGCAGCAGCCAACGCGAGCGCTGCCGTTGCCGTTGCCGTTGCCGTCGCTGACGCCGTCGCCGTTGTTGTCGCCGCCGCCGTCGTCGTCATCGTCGCCGTCGTCGCCGTCGTTGTGGCTGTCGATTGCAATGCATGAGAAAGAGGAAGAGCGCTCATTTGCATAGCGCCTAACGGTTCTCAAGAAACTAACCTGCAAGAAATCTTTATTTTTTTTCTTGTTGTCTTTTTTTTCTGGTGCAAATTCATGACCTTAGAACTCCTCAACGTGTCTCGTGGCCTTTGCAGAATTATTTCAAAATCTCGCTACACATTAAATATCTTTTTATTTATTTTTTTTAATTTTATATTGGGGTAATACAGAATTTGTTTTTTCATGGTGGTTTTTGGTTTTGCTGGTTGATGCGCTGCGCTGCTGTCTTATTTGAGGTAGGTGCCCCCATACGCCACCTACTTGATTCATGCTTTTGGCGGCCACCTAGTATAATATTTATTTGAATGATCGGGAAAAAAGAGAAACAACAAAACGTCTTTAATTAGTATTTAAAGAGCCATAAAACTGTTGTGACGTAAATCGAGAGACAGCGTCCAACGTATTTGCAGCTATCTTCCAGATACATTTACTTATAGATACATACGCCTCTCGACGTGTTGCCTCGTTAAAAATCATTTTCATATTCATAACACTGCAGGAGCCCCAGACTCAATATAATCGTAGGCATAATTATCTACTCTTTGTGTATGTGTGTGGGTCTGTATGTGTTTTTATACCCTGAACCCATTGAAAATGGGAAATCAGGGTATAATGTTTTT